TCATATAAAAGCATGTTGCCTTATTGTTCGCATAATGCCAGTCAGAATGTCCCTCTCATTTCCGTCTCCGTATCTTTCCCTGTTTCCCGTCCCTCCATTGAAAAGGCACAAACACATTACGCTTGAATCTCTAATAGCCCATGTGATGGATGCCAACGCATAATGAGCTCTTTATGAGACTTAATACCTACTGTTAATCAATGGACATAGCAGGGCACTTTTCAATACTACCTTCTAAGCATTTTAAAACGAGCCCCCATTGAAAAGATTGACTCGCTTTCTGCTTCCCTTTGCTTTCTTTTTTTTATACTTCCTCCATCCCAGCATGCAATTAGCCACATCACATACTCCCGATCTAATGATGCAAGCTCTTTAGAAATGCCCTTTGCCAGCTCTTGTATCATCGAGAGCCCTCCTAACTAAGACATGTTTGGACTGAAAAGCAGCGCATTTCAGTAGGTGGACCAGAGCCCGCGAGCAAGAGAACTATGGATGGCCTATTTATGGTGACAAATATGGCAGACAGGAGGCTAAAGCTTGAAGCGCCCCTGTCAATTAGTTATTGTATTGTAGACTTTGATCTTCAGCTGTGAATGTGATGTGTTGCTCAAGGGCACGCTAGTATCAAGGCTTGTTAGCATCATCATCGTGTAAACTGCATTTACATGGGCACCGTTTAAATACATTACAAGACTGCTTTGATACAAGTATATTGCGCATTAGAACGCAAACAAATCCCAAGAGACAGTGCAGTAGGATATGTTCCAAATGCAAATGATTATTTTAGATTATTATCACGGACTTGACTTCATAGCTTCACATGATTCTTGTCCTTAAAGTGCTCCAGAGGCAACAGCCTGAAATGACAGCAGTGATTAAGCTCGCTCAGTGGTTACTAGAAGCAACAAGTGACGCAAGTGCATACAGGAACTCAAGCATATAGACTTTGAACTGTTAGCACAAAATGTAGAGGCTTAGAGCTTTGTCCCTAATTACCCCTGGTTTAAGTTCTGCATTATTAATACGTTTTACTCCACTCCATCATTGTTGCCAAGTTTGTATTGATTAAAGCTTTTAGTATGAAGTGGGGTCGGTTATGGCAGAGTGGTTAGCAGTAGTGCACAGAACAGATGGAGTTTTCTGCTTGCATATTTAGACTTCAACTCGCAGTACCTTTCATGGGGTAGCGGATGGAGACGAGGATTGAATTGGTGTATTTACAAGTCTATTTTTACAAATCCCTTTCACCCACGTCACGTCTTTCACCCACGTCAATCCACTTAGAACAGATCGTATTAATCAAAACTATGCTTAGTTGAGTTACTATTGAGTTGCAGTTTAAAATATACACAGTCAAAGTTGCTCTCAGTGTCTGTGTTCTTGATCCAGGCAGAAACAATAGGGCTTGGATTTCTGACTTAACTTTAACACATTTTTTTCTTAATCCTCTTATTTGAAAGCCAAATGTGTTGTGTATGATAAAAAAAACAACAACAACAAAACGCATTGGCCTTTGGGGCTGGAGATCGCGAACTCGATCTCCCCATGAGACTTCTCCACCGACTCCCACTGATGTCTGCTGTTGTTGTGTCCCTGAGCAAGACACTTTACCCTACTTTGCCTGAAGCCCCCACTGAAAGATCACAGTGGCTCAGAGCAAAGCAGCCATCCTCCACCACCTGCAGGAGGATCAGTGAGGGGCTGGTGCTGTGAGGATTGGGTGCGCCGATTGCCACCACCGGGACCCAGCAATGGATTAAGGCAGAGGTGTCAAACTCATTTTGAACGGGGGCCACATTTAAACAGACAAGAGCTGGTTGGGGCCAGAAGTGCAAAAGCCTTTTGACAAAATAATTGTATTTGACATATATTTGGGTATTATTTTCTAAACAAAACTTGGCCTGATTTCAACAAGAGAGGTATTGGAAGACTGTTCAAAATTCAGATTTAGGCTCATAGGCTCATAGGGCGGCACGGTGGCTGAGTGGATAGCACTCTCGCCTCTCAGCAAGAAGGTCCTGGGTTCGAATCCCGGTCGGACCAGGGCCTTTCTGAGTGGAGTTTGCATGTTCTCCCCGTGTCTGCGTAGGTTTTCTCCGGGTACTCCGGTTTCCCCTACCACTAAAAACATGTCCAATAGTTCTGGCATGCGCCTCCTGTTCGGTGACCCCGCTCCTATCTCTGTGTGGAGTGAGAGGACAAGTGCCCAAAAAAAAAATAATAACAATTGTAAACCGCTTTGTGACCCTTGTCTGTGAAAGGCGGTATATAAATAAACATTACTTACTTACTTACTACTTACTCATTAGAAGAATGAAAAAGGTCAAAAAATTTTACGCATCAATATGTAACCATTACCAGAAAAAAAAAAAAAAAATGCAAATCCATTCTACCTAACCTAGAAATCCCAGCTAAAGAAACAACCATACAACAGTCGAGGATAATGTTTGTCTTTTATGTACGTTTCAAAAGAACATTGTTATTTCTCCCTCACTTGTTCTTTTCCCTACGCCATGTCATGTTTGAATCCATTATTCAGGCTGTGGGTTGTACATTACTGTGTTGGTGGCGTTGTTTGTGGTGCGGTGCATGCGCAGCTTTAGTCCTGGGTGCGTTTGATTATCCTTTCACGGCCTCTGAGGGAGAAGGATTCATTCTCACTCTGATAATGAGGAAGAGACTTTCAATGCCCTTAAGTCATTTCTCCACTTCTGCCAAGCTTCCTGTTGCATCCAGCACTTTTTATTTTCATACGGCCTTATACAGTTTTGTACTCTTTGTTTTTACATCTTGCAATCTCTCTGCCCACTTTGTTTCCTAATCTCACCATTTGTTGATTTAATGTACATGTATTAGGATGGATACAAAACGACAAGCAAAAACATGTTGAATCCCACCTAATTTTAAAGGATAATTCTGTTTAAATCAAGCCTATTTAAATACTATCATTTTAATTTCCTTATTATACTATTCCACTTTGAGAATATTCAATTTTGGATGGTTTGGGATTGAGATTATCCAATCTCAAAATGGCTGCAATTAAAAGGTGGTGCGGCAAAGACTGTAGAATGGAGGTTCTCAGGCTTTTCACAATCTAAAATAAACTATTTTACCTAACACCACATCCAAATCAGGTCACAAACAGAACTTTATGGGTAATTTCAGGCGACAGGTTCACTTCATTATTACCTTAAAATATGAAAAATAATAAATTCACTGAACTACGTTTGAACTGCAGATAAGAATCCTTGAAATCAAGTGGTACACACTTGTAAGACTGTTCAAAAGTCTCTCTGGAAATGTTCTGTTTGCTTGGAAATGTCTTATTTTTTACATCTAATATGTCGCAAAATTGCCTGGGAACATAACTGGGAACATAATCAATACAAAAAGCAAAACTACAAATGCCCCGCATGCTCAACCTGCATGGCCGTTTTCAATACTACCAATACTCTAAATAGAAAATCTATTTTCAAAATTGCCATAAAGCCATTTGCAGTAAAACCCCATTGGAAAATCTGTGCAAGACTCCCCAATTGTGCACCAAATAGTACACACTCATTGCACACGGGTTTTCATCAATTATCCTTTCAAGCCTATTTTTTTTTTTTACATTTTACTTAATCTTATCCTCATTGAAAACCTATCCCTGTCCCTACCGAATAACCATGAACAATGCATCACCATGTTTACCAAGTTTGTTCTTTTTCCCATATTGCTATTTTTTGTTATAATCTTTTGAGGCGACATGCATTATAGATGTCTGTTTTCAGCTTTTCCCATCTTCTGCTGTGTATTTATTGCCTGAAGTTTACAACACCGAGGGGGGGTACTGGTTCCATGCTGGTTAGCGCCTGAATTTTATGGCAAAGATTTACAAGTGAGGTGGCCATTTTTTCGTAGTCAGTGGCGACCTATCTCTGAGGGGCTGTGAGCTGCCTGTCTTGTTTCTTGCCCACAAATAGCCTCACTCATCCCGTGTCAATGCTCTCATGTGCCGTGTATTTTCTTGCCTGCTCAAAATGTCCACTCCAATCACCTGACTTGCCCTGTAGAATCTCAGGGGAAGCATGAAGCAAGAATGAGTCAGGGCAAGGAATCTGTTAATTTTAGACTTTTAGAGGTTCTCAGGTAGTCTATGTCTTGTGTCTGTTTGACATTTGTCAAAAAAATTAAAATAAAATTAAATCTGTGTTTTGTGTTTACAGATGAGACAATTATTTTAAATATTTGTGAATATAGGTTTATTCCTTACTTTACCTCAAGGATTGTCTTTGGCCACTTAATGTTATATAATATAATAGTTTGAATACATATATGGTGAACACACACCTTGTAGATAAGTGGACTCTGATCCACGGGAAATAATCTAATTCTATGGTGATTCATTTGTGTTTGAATAAAAACTGCCTCATTCCCAAACTTTGCAATTAATAGTTTTCTCAATATTATTTTTGATAAGGTAAGATTATGCATATGTACAGTATGTATCTGTTTATAAAGCTCCTGTATACTATCGATTTAAATGTCAATGATGGTCTCACTTACTGACAACCGCCTGTCACAGCAGTAGATAACAGATACGCGTAGCCTTTTGCCAAATCATATACAATGCAGACAGAAATGGGCATCATTTGAAGAATTGTATCTTGAAAGGCTGCTCAGACATGAATAATTCATTATGAATACAAGTTTGACAGGGTAACAATAGGCAAATTGACATTTTCACTTATATTTCTATGTAGACAGACCCCATTCTTAAACTCTTGAATAAAGATACAACGTTGTCTTATAGAGTGCAACTTTGTGTGAAGAAAGTTGTAGAATGGCAAGTTTAGTTCAATCCCTCGCTCATCTCACAGTGACTTTTCTTCTTGTGTCTTCCAGTCGACTGAAGCAGACACTACCATCAGTGCAGCCCATTAGGAGGCCCACCCCCGCCGCCTCCTCCACTCCTGCTCCCCTCTTTCATCTCCCCCACCCTCCCACCTGTCGGGGCCATGGATCTGAAGGACCGCAGGCACCGCTCGCTCACTAGGGGGCGCTGCTCCAAAGACTCCCAGTACAACAGCACATCCCTGGACACAGACGAGTGCCGCGTCCCCACACAGAAGTCCTACAGCTCCAGTGAGACGCTCAAGGCCTTTGACCACGAGCAGCGGCTGCACTATGGAGGCTGTGTGACCGACTTGGTGCATCACGAGGCCGATGAGTACTCCAGGCAAGGTCAGTACAACTGGGGAACTGTTAAAAACCTTACAGGTAATATGTGTGCAGACTTCAGGCTTATGAAACTGGAATTTCTCCAAGCATAAAAACTAAGAAGTGACAATGCTCAAGCAGCAAATCAGATCAAGTGTCACGTCTGGCCTTTTTCTTTCCAATTGGTGACATTGGGGACATTTTTGGTTTTGTTTTACATATTTTTTTGTATTATTATGATTAATCAAGATCTGTTACTGTTGCATAACAGTAGGAAGGAGGAGCAAACTCAAGAAAAGTGTATATTAAGAATTGCACAACTCTATACTATTATACTACTTATACAAAAAAATCTCTATATTTTGCTTAATAATAAAAGAAAATATAAATTAGTGTATACTAAAGTGAAAGAAATATTTACAGCTGTAGATAAATCAGTAATAAACTAGGCATTAGGTCTTTGATGGTGAAGCTACTGTACATGTTAGCAGCATAACTGTACATGTTAGCAGCATTACTGTACATGTTAGCAGCATGAGGTTCTGGGACTAAGTAAGTGGGCACATGTGGTCCCATATTGCACATTTTAATTGTATTGCATATTATTGAACCAATGCATAATGTTGGGACTATCTACGTTTCATATCTCTTTTTTGCAATGTCTCACCTACATCAAGAATATTGAGTTGAATGCATTGTATCAAATCCTCTTTTAGATCCATTTACAGTTACAGTCACATAAAATGAGTGTTGAGATGACCCTTTCCATTATAACAAGTTTTATTGTGCATGAACTAATATAATCCTTTAACATTTATAGCATGTATACTGTACCGTATAACGTCTTATAGTTACATTTGAATAACAGTCATCATGTGTAAGCATTTCATTTGATTTAAAAGGAAATAGTCTGGTGTGCTTTTTATTGACATAAGCCTCATTGCCTATATTGGGATTTTTATTATGTTAAGGGAAAAAAAAGGGGTCTAATGGTTTTCAATGGCCCACTCTTATCAGACACGTAATTACAGAACGGGAAGAGGCACCTCGTAAAAACAGGAAATATGACAGGTGCATTCATTCAAAAGCCGGATGATTACCCAGATGAGCATTAACATAATGGATAAAAAATTACTTTAGATATATACACGTAAAGAAGAGCAGGTAACGTTTATTCCCAAATATCCTGCTAAACGTGGGAAGCTTTTATCCACCACAGCGAACGTGCCTTTGTCTCTCTGTGCTTCCATTCAAGGTTTTAGGCTGGAAGGGCAAACTCCATTTCAAAGATGTAGTCATTTCCTTCCAAAGTGTTACCAATTATTGTCTTCATCCTCATCCTTCGGCGACAGTAGCCATGGCGACTTCCTTTTTTAAACAATTTTTTGTGATTCTTCCAGCCTTTTAGTGCACAGTTGGTTTTTTATCATTTTTTACAATGCTCTCTGCAAAAGACATGGGGATTATTTACACTTTAGAATTGTACCTACAGTGAAGTGTACTTGTTGTGCTTGTGTAAATAAGACAATAATTGTTCATGATTGATTTTGTATAATCATCATAATCACCCAACTACAGTCATTGTCAATTTGACCAAAAAAGTACATTGATTAAAAGAAAATAGCTGTTTCAACAAGAAGCTCATCATTGACAGCAATATAAACTACACTATACATACAATACAATACAATTTATTCTTGTATGGCCCTAAATCACAACAGACACAGATCACCAACACAGATCAGAGAATCAACAGTTAAAACACATAAAGAATATAGAACACATGTTGAAAAATGTCCATACATGTTGTAGAATGTTAAAGTGTCCTGGATCATCACCACAGTCCTTCTAGTTGCAAACTAACTGTCCAACAGACCTTCCTGCATCTGCAAGGAAAAACTCACAAAAACCCAATGGGAAAAAAGTGAGAAACCTTGGGTAGACCCACAGTTTGAGAAAGGGATCCACTCCCACGGACGGACAGGCTATAGATCCAGGACCTAAGCTACAGAACGTGGACCAGTGGCCGCTGAACGTGGACAGGTCCGGTAAAGGACTGAAGAACGCAGGCGGGTCGGGCAGGGCTGTCCGCAGGTGTAGATAAAGAAGGCCAGGTTCAGAGGTCCCGTCATCATACCATGAAACAGACAATGGGACAACAGGTGATGAACAAACTACAGTCAAAATCCTGATAATGCAGACAGATGAAGTATGAAGGAGGAGAGGATAGTGCTCAAGTTACCATACTTACATACCAAACTGACTCCCTATGCAGCTTGACTGACAGTCTAAGATGTTTAGCCTTCCCTGAGTTTTACCTTCCTAACCATATGCTAACTAAAGACGACTGTTTTACATACAACTAATGGATGTACTGGACTCTAAATTAGCATAATATTAGACAAGACAAAACCTAATATGTCCTTCAGCGGGGAAATGTCATCGTCATCATTGCGCACATTACAGCTGAATAGGAAGGAGAAGACAAGACCACTCAGGTTACACACATCAAACATGATCTATTATTCAAGATAATATAAAAAAGCTTATAGAAAATGAAAAAATAATATAATGACATGAAACTCCAGAGATATAATTGCACTTGGTTCAAGGAAATGTCACGTGTGGAGTAAACTGTTGTAAGCAGTACTTTAGGTACATGAAATAATTGCCAATATGAAAAAAACACACATAGACACTACAGACTTGTCTTATCAATTATATCTTATCAGTAAATGTTGGCCTCTCCTCCTACCTTAGCGCACTACTGTAATCAAAGCAGTGCACCAAAGCAGACCTTTAGCTGTGGCAAGCTTGTCATAATGAACTTCCATATCCCCTGGTGAGCAGGCGATCCGATAGGCCGATAGGTCATCTCTAAAGGGCTGGGTCCGCCCTCCTGCATGTCTTTAAACCATGTGCATGTGTGTGTGTGTGTGTGTGTGTGTGTGTGTGTGTGTGTGCATGTACAGCTGTGTGTGTTGGAGCAAGACATGAAAGCAGCTGTATTGATCCTTGGCGAGTGAAAGGAGTCAGACTCGATGAGATTGATTGGCGCTAAGCTCTGTTTTCTCTGCACGGACACGGCAGCACAGGCATACCGAAAAGCCCAGTAGTGCCACAACCTTTGGCCACGTTTCAGATTTGAGCTGGAAATGTTTTGGCCTCATCAAAGAGTTGGTATGAAATGAATGAATCTAATGGTGTACTGAATAGATTGACCTCAAGATAAAAGAGAGAAAATGTGACCCGAGGAGATAAGTCGATGGTATTTGTGCATGGCTGTGATGGTTTCAAAGAGTCGGACTATCTTAAATACACCACAAATGTCCCCCTTCAAACTTAATTTGCTAACCTGCGTGGCCTTGAGAAGTCACACTGATGCATACAAAACCAACAAGACTCCCCCCGACGCCATTCTAACATTTACCTCCACATCTTCAACTGACCTCATCGAGACTTCGCCAATATCCCACCACCGGTCAAATTTGAAAAAAAAAATGTCTTTTCACCTGCCTCACATGACTTTACTTTACCCTCTGGCCCTTTGCTGCAGTGAGAATAGAGAAAAAACGTCTTTAACAGTAACTAAATAGCTGTGATGAGTGAGATGTGGGCTTCAGAAGAACGTGAAACATGTGCATAAAGTTTGTCATCAGAAATTGTTCTTGTCTTTCTCAAATAATAACACTTATGCTTGCTACCTTATGCAAACACACATTTAGATATTCGGGCTACTACTATTAAAACTAATTTGTGGACTAAATATATATGTTTTCTCATCATACTAGGTTTGTATGAGCTGTTGTTGAAAATGTGTTGCCATATCTCTGTTCTCTCTGTGGACAGAATGATCAGTCAGAAAAGGCGGGGTATGTATAGTGCACCTTGACCTGAGATTGTCAATATTTCATGTGAAAATCACATACAGAAAACACAACAGACTCTATAAACAGCTTTATCTGGAAGGGCTTCAATCAAATTCAGAGAGTTTCTGTCAGAGCATGGCTAGAAATCATGAACCAATCAATCACTTACGCCGACGTGGACTCATTCAAACCAACAGATGCTAGATACTCTACAGGAATCAAAGGGAACTAGTCTCTGGCACAAAACACAAGGACAAAAGAAAGAGGTGACTTCCTCCACTGTGACGTCAATTCAGTTCTGGTAATGTTGTGATGATTTGTGGAATGATTAATGGAGCAACCAAACCTCAACGCAGTTTACTATCTGCATAAGTGAAGTAACAAATCAGGACAAAACTGGATCTTAATCAAACGCCGAGAGTAAACCAAATGTGCGAATTAAGCCAGTTCAACAAGGATTCAACCAGGACAAGCAACTCCTTAACGATAGCCCTATGGCAGCTTCGACTCCTTTCATAAAAAACATAGAATACAAGGTTTTTTGATTCGCCAACACAGATCAGAGAATCAAACAGTTCGAACACAATAAATGCTATAATAACAAAGACATAAGAGCCATTTGTCCACAGGGGGCAGATGACCAAGGTCCATACACGTTAATAAGGGTCCATAAAAGTCGATACATGTCCTGGATCATCACTGTTGTCAGACATGTTGTCCCCAAACGAGTACTGAGGTCCCAGGCAGAAGGGGTTGCCGCCCACCAGTCCGGGTCAGGAGAGACAGTCCACAGGTGCAGACATACTGGCGAAAAGTAAATGGCAATGAAAAAAGTATGTAGTACCGTGCCATGTGCACTTTGAAACTATTAATGCAGTATATAATTCAAAACTAAGTGTCCCCTACACCACAGTTTGAGGTCCCCTGCTATAAAGATCTCGGCTGAAACGTCAGAGTGTGTTGAGGTGTGTGGTGTTTCGGACACACTCCAGCGCCGCGCCGCGCTGACCCCACACTGGGCGATAGCTGATCGATAGCACAGCGCTCTCAGCATCAGCTCCTCGGAAAGCCCAGAGCCACAGATGCATCGTGGGAAGTGTGGCCACAGGAGACCAACAGTGTTGCTGCACCATATGGACTGTGACACCATAAGAG